TGGTGGTGGTGGTAGTAGTACTAGTAGTAGTTGTAGTAGTTCAAATGGTATACTGGTTGAAATTGTTCTTAGGTATGAGTTTTGTCCTTACTTTTATATTAGGGATGCGACAAATAAACACTGATAACACAACGTGCATACAGTGCAAAACACACTTATTTCATTACAGTGAGTTGCAGACTGAGTTAAGTTGGTCTACGAGTTGTAGTATTGCAGAAGCATTGAACTTTCAATACATCATTTAACACATACTAATAACACACATATTAATACAACTAAATATGGGGAAAAGGGAGTGGAAGGAAAAAATCCTATCTTTTGGGTTCAACTGTTAGCCGTTAGCCTAGCATTGGGACTAGCTGGTTTACCCTGTGCACTGCCTGTGGGACCCTTCATTCGGCCAACTGCTTCAGACTATGCTGCATTCACGGCCTGGTCCTCACTACAAGCTGAGAGCCACCGAAACCTCAACTAGTATTTATAGTGTGAATGGCTTTTAATTTACCAAATAACCACCAGTGTGACAGTCATGGATGAAAACACGAGGGTAAGAGATGCACATATGAGGCAGGTGACGTGGGAAATTCGGATGTAAAACAACATTTAGCTCCAGTTTTACTCAGCTCGGAAAAGCTGCCGTGTACCTACATGCACTTGTCTTTATCTCATTAGGGTTAGAAGGCAATGTTTACATCCGTCTATGTATTGTTCATTTCTGTTTTTACTATTTCACCCAGTAAAATTTTTTGATTTACTTTAGTTGTTAAAAATGATTCTGATGGGACATCCCATGATGATACAGCATTATTAATCTTTAAAAATATGTTTACTTAAGCATCCAAAATGTTTTGTGTTTTTTTTTTTTTTTTTTTGGGGGGGGTGGCTATTCATACCTGTGTTATGCTGTGATATAAACCGCATTATGATATAAATTTTTGGCCATAGCATCCAGTACTAACTGACAGCCACCCAAGTGTATTTTAAAAATGTACTATTATGTCTTATTTTAATAAATTCCAAAATATGTTTTGTGTAAACTAGGGCACACTTCCTGTAAAATGAGACTGCTTGTTTTAATATTTCTGTGCTTCAGTGCTGTATGCATGGTAAAAAGAATTTCTATACAAAATTGCAAGATTTTTTTAAATAATACAGCTTATTTCCTCCCTCAGGTTTATTTCAGACCTGTGGGAGAAGCTGAAGTAGGTACAGAATTCTATTAACCATTACAGCACTCAGCACATAGCTGTGAGCCATTTAGTCTGAAGGAGGTTCAGTACCTCCCTAACTGTGGAATAGGGTCCATTTTTGTGATTTATATATTTTTTTATGTTTTATCATTTTTTCACATAATTTGGAAAAGGCAGTTGCTCTTTATGTTGTTTTAAAGTTTCATGATGAACGGACCAACAGAAACTGTCCAAAATTACTTGGGGGGAAAAAAAATCCATTTACGTCCATTAAAACCCTTTCCTTGTCCTGTAAATGTACCTTTTTGAAGATAAGAGGTTTTGTTCCAACAGCAGCGATATATTTATATTATAATGAATATTTCAGTATCAGTATTGGTGACAAAATGTTTATCAGTTGGACGCTGTTGCAGAAACTATATCCTTTCTTTGTGATTGTGCGTGTTGCTCCCCTGAGTAGAGAATATCTCTTTCCTGCCAATCAGCCAGACCTCCGGCCCTCCCTCTCAGCGTGAAGACATCCACCACGCTGCTAGAGCTCAGTGAGTCACCCAGCCTGCCTTTACTGAGGTCAAAGGAGGACATGGGTCGAGCCATGTGTGTTTACACTGCTGGTTCTGTTCAGGTGGTACAGAGAAGGAACATATGAATAGAGATAAGGTGGGCTGAGGGGGTTGCTATTAGTGTTAAATGATGAATTGAAAGTTCAATGCTTTTGCAGTACAACGTCATAAACAATTGCTTGTTTAAAAAAAAAAGTCAATATTCTGTTTTTTTAGATATTTATCTTGGATATAACGAGTTTTCGAAAAGAGTAACCGTTGATGTCAATGGAAAACATATTTATTCCTCTAATAAAGGTGGTGATAATCATAACATGACATTGATATTTCTTGTATGTGTGAATCCCACTCCCAGCAACAAAAAGTGATCTATAATGCTTTTTTGCCATAAAACCCTTCATTTCCTCATCTTGCTGTTGATCTTCCATTCAGAGCCTGTTGAATTAGATCTTAATGCCTCAATTAGTTATAGTTAATTAAACATTTGAATAGTTTTGTATTGATAATGTGTATGAAAAGTCAGATGTTAATTTTGCTGTAACAATTTGAATATTTTTGTCTTCATTCCAGTAAACACTGGTTCTAGGTTGTTTAGTGTTTATGTTAATTGGATTATTATTGGTCTACTACTGGAATTACAGATTATTTGCAAGCTGTAAATATTCCAGCAGCTTTTAACATCTCTGTAAATATGCCATCATAATCTGTGGGAAAGGAGTTTTGTGGGTTTTCTTGAGTATGGAAGCACTCAAAGAACTGTTTACTTGTATTCACTGTAACCCAAATTAAGCTGGTATGTACTGATCTACATCACGTGTGCAATTCTGAACAATAACATGTAAAATTACAGTTTAATTGTATGCAGTGATGTTGATTGTTGGTTGTAAACTCCCAAGCTTATTTTAATGTGAGTGAAACACTGTTCACTTAAGATAGCCTGGTAAATGGTTAGAGAAAACAAAATTGCAAATCAGTCATGAACAATACAGACCTCCTGTAGTAAAATGACATTATCCCACTTCCCCATTCAGATTGGGACAGTAACATAAGTTTAGATAAACTATTGTGTGAATTAGTTTATGTAGCATAATTTAACATGATAAATGTTATAATTATGATCATAAGTGTTACAAAGCCTTGCACTGTAGCTTGCATTTTCGCATGTTTATAACTTCTGATTTGCACCACGACTCTGTTGTAGATAGTCCTGGATCCTGCAGTTTGCTAGGTGTGAATGAGTCATGTTAGAAAGTCCCAATACTTATTGGGATACTTATTGTAAAAACGTGTGTATCGTTCCACCCCTTATAAATAGGCAGCTGATTTAAAAATAAAACACTTTAAATACCATTGTAGCCCAACAGAGAGCAAATAATGTTTACATAGCAAGGGCATTGTCCGATTTGGCTGTAAAGAAATCGGAATCGGCTATAAAAATTCATGATCAGGGAATCTCCAGTTCTTTCTGTGTATCATATGTTGATCATACCCATGCAAAATTTAAGGCATCTCTTATTAATGAACAGTATTGGCTACTTATTAATTAACAGTATTGGCTACAACCAAGTGTTTATTATTGGTTATTGTATTGTTTCCTAGAAATTCTGTATCTGTGCATCCCTAAATACTGCACGGTGTCAAAAGTTAAAATTCTGGCATTGAGACAAGCCTCATTGCTCTAGTGGCTGGAAGACTGTGACAGTGTTTGAGGATGTTGAGGAATTGATCTAGACATCAGTGGTAGGTTTGATGCGCAGAGAGAGTTGGAGGAAGGCAGAGAGAGGTGAATGTGTCAGTGGCATTGTGCTGTCAGCTCTGGAACTTGGTTAACCCTGCGGCCCTGGAAGACTGCTGCTGCTCTAATTGGAGGAAGCCCTGGAGGGGAAGGGACAAGAGCTGGGAGAGTTATGGCAGGTGCCCGCTCCACTGAGCATCCCTTGTAGGATTATGGGAAGGCAGACGAGTCGAGTGTGTTTTATTTTGGTCGCTTCTAGAAGCTGGAGACGTTTTATTCTTGCAAACCTCAAACACTCATATGTGCACTTTAACGGGACCATATATTTTTCTTGTATCTTTTTCCCCCCCCCACAGAAATCTGCTTATGGCATTTCTGTAAGTTTTATGGGTAGTGGGTAGCGCTGTCACCTCACAGCAAGAAGGGCCTGGGTTTGATTCCCCATCTGAGCGGTCAGGGTCCTTTCTGTGTGGAATTTGTGTGTTTTCCCTGTGTCTGTGTGGGTTTCCTCTGGGTACTCCGGTTTCCTCATGCAGTCAGGCCAACTGGACATGCTAAGTTGCCCTTAGGTGTGAGTGTGGGTGTGAATGTATATGTCTGTCTGTCTGCCCTGCGATGGACTGGTGACCTGTCCAGGGTGTATCCTGCCTTCCACCCAATGACTGCTGGGATAGGCTCCAGCTCCCCCCCGTGACCCAGAAGGATAAGCGGCTTAGAAGATGTGTGTGTTTTTTGTAACTTTTATTGACTGAACAAACAAGGGAGTGAATGGTACTGTCTGTAAATTTAACAAGGATTACACACTACATCAAACTTTTATGTCAAAACAGCAAAGACAATTCAGTTTTCCATGATATGCCCCCTTTAATATCTGTCTTTACAATTCCTGCAGAAATAAGATGACTAATTTATTCAAACCCTCAAACACATGCATTATATGCTCATTAACCCTTGGCACTCTCTCCACCCCCCTCTCTCTCTTTCCCTCTCTCTTTTTTTTTTTTTCTCTTATTAACTCTCAAACATCACCTGACTCCAAACTCAGAGAAGTAGTTCAAAGCTGGCTGCCAGTGTGTGTGTGTCTGTCTCTCTCTCTCTCTCTCTCTCTCTCTCTCTCTCTCTCTCTCTCTCTCTCTCTCTCCCTCTTCCTCTTCCTCTTCCTCCTCCTCCTCCTCCTCCTCCTCCTCCTCCTCCTCCTCCTCCTCCTCCTCCTCCCCCAGAATCAGCAGCTGGCTGCCTCTTTCAGAAACAGCCACACACAATATATCATGACACATACGATAACAATGCACAGTGGGGTTGAATTGTGCGCCAAGATCCATAATGGAATGTAGGAGTTGGAAGAGACAGTGTGTGTAAGTAAGTGGGTAGGTGTGTGTGTGTGTGTGTGTGTGTGTGTGTGAATGCCAGCACGCGAGCCTTCATGCATATGCTAATTAAGCCATGTATTTTTCATATGTGCTAATTCCAGCACCTCTGGATTTGACCAAATCTCCCCTCTCTGCTTTTTAGACAATCATGGAACAGTTCAATCCCTGCTTGCGAAATTTCGTTGCCATGGGGAAGAACTATGAGAAGGCCCTCTCCAGTAAGTACGCTGCTATTTTCTTCCACTCTGTTCTAATTAAAGGTGGTGTCAGTGATTTTTAGGTTGGAACAATTTTTGCAACATTTGGCAAATTCTCCTCTCTTTCTGGCAGTTGTAAATAATGATTATGATAAGTGGAAAAAAGAAAGAAGGCAAATGATGTGGACTATCAACTTTCAACCAATCACAATAAGGAGGTGTGTCAACTTGTTAAGTTATGTTGCCTGTCCACAGTACATAGTGAGAAGTCTTCGAGCTAGCCAGCTACAAACTAGAGTTCTGATAATACCCATTGTAACAGCTGGTTAGTTATTCAACACATTAATGAACAAAAATAAGACCAAAAATGCTAATTCCGCTCACTGAAGACGAATGAAAATGACCAATTTAGAGAGGAAGCAGTAGTGCATATCATTGTGCCTTGAGGGAGCTAGGAGTTAAAGTACATCAAGAATGATGCCATACTTGCTCTATATTTGCTAGACAATGACCTATATTAGCACATTTCATGAAAAACTTTAGAGTTACACTTAAAATAGGGCTGCAAACATTGCATATTTTATATTTTGGAGTATTTATTTATTCTTGTATTGTTTAAGTATTATTAATGAAACTTGAGCTACTACAAGGTAATGGAAGAACATCACTGACAATTATTCTCATAGCAAATAGCATAAAATGCTATTCCAGGGGATCTTACCCAATTTGGCAACCCTGGCCAGATTGCTGAGACTGTTTAAATGGGTGTCATTGATAAGCGTTTTTGTACCCCTACCCCTTGTTTTTGAGTGTCACCTTGCCCCTTGGAACTGAGTTACAAGGGGTAGTGGTGGAAATCTTCCCCTATGAAATGGGCCCCTCAAATAGAAGAACACTGCTTTGTTAACAGGCTTCAAGGTGCTCTGTAGGAAAGTCTGCAGTCATAGAACAGGAGCGGTAAGGTTCAGCAACCTCGCTACTGGCCCTTAGTTAACTTTAGGAAATCATATGCTTTCAGAGTTGGGATAATTATTTATTATCGCCCACCCCAATTTTTCGATGATATGAAGCTGAAATCAGCTATTTGCCAGCTTCTTATTCGAATTTTCCTGTTCCACCTTAAATGGAGCAGCAGTTACTCCCTGGCACTTCAGACGTCTGTACTGATGGACTATTTAAGGTGGAACGGGAAATTTAACTATCTAGCTATCAAGACATTAGCATACTGTTAACAATTTTTTAAGCTTGTTATGAAGAAAAGGACCACAATACATTGAAACGGCATTAAACTAAGATTTTAGTCCACCCATTACTAACAGGTGGATCAAATTATGCACACAGCCTTGCAGTCTCGATAGACAAACACTGGCAGTAGGATGGGTTGTACTGATGAGCTCAGTTACTTTAAACATGGCACTGTCAAAGGATGCCACCTCTGCCACAAGTCAGTTTGTAAAATGTCTGTGCTGCTAGATCTGCCCCGTCAGCTGTGCTATTATTGTGAAATGGAAGCTTTTTGGAGCAACAACAGCTCAGCCATGAAGTGGTAGACCACCCAAACTCACAGAGCCAGGCCACCGAGTGCTGAAGTGCCGAGTGCCTATCCTCTGTTGTATTGCTCATTAAACAGTTGAAAAACAAATGCCTCTGGAAGCAACATCAGCTAAAGAACTGTGCATCTGAAGCTTCACAAAATGGGTTTCCATGGATGATCAGCTACACGCTGTGTTGGAAGAAGTCGTGTAAAGCAATCGGCCACTGGACTCTGGAGCAGAGGAAGCGTATTCTGTAGAGTGACAAATCACACTTCTTTATCTGACAGTATGATGGATGAGTCTGGATTTGGTAAATGCCAGGAGAACGTTATGTGCCTGACTGCTTTGTGTGAAGTTTGGTGGAGGAGGGATAATGCTATGGGGTTGTTTTTCAGGAGTTGGCCTAGAGCCCTTTAGTTCCAGTCAAGATAAATCTTAATGCTTCAGCAGACAAAGACATTTTGGACAACTGTATGTTTTTAAGTTTGTGGGAACAGTTTGGGGAAGGCCCTTTCCTTTCCAGCATGGCTGTGCCCCAGTGCGCAAAGCAAGGTCCGTAAGCCAGACCCTCTTGTCCAACATGAGTGTCTGACCTCACAAATACTCTTCTGGATGAATGGACAAAAATTCCCACAGACACACTCAAAAATCTTGTAGAAAGCTTCCCAGAAGAGTAGAAGCTGTTATTGCAAAGGAGGGACCAACTCCATATTAATGCTTATGGACTTAAAATAAGATGTCATAAAAGCTCCTGTAGATATAATATGTAGGTGTCCTAATACTTTTTTCATATATTGTAGACAGCTTGTTATCCAGAATGCTCTCTTTTATTCTAAGAAATAAATGCAGTTGAGAGTATCTAGCAATCCAGAGCAGTAGAAAAAGCTTTTGGTTTACCAAACCAACATTATGAAATTAGAGCTCTAATACAGGCAGTTAGGGACAGAGTCTGGACAACGCTGCCTCTGCCTACTGCAGAGATATCAGAGTGGCTTAACAGGAACGGACCGCTAGACTGCTGTGAAAAAAGACTAACCATAAATCACTGTTTTTGTGTTTTTGCTCTGTTTAGATGTGCAGCTGCTGCTGCGTGCTTCTGGTGACTCACTAGCCACATAAACAAAACTTTGTTTCCTGTTGAACTGAGAAAATCCAGTGTGCGGAGGTTTGTGCTCTCATAAAAACAGATAAAAGCAGCAGTTATTTAAATGGCTTGTCTGTTTTTGATATTAATCAAATTTATTTAATTTTATTAAATATTTGTTACACCCTTAAACTAAAGTAGTCAGCTAGCTAACAAAATTAGACAGTAGCCTGTCTGAGGTTAACCAAATGGCTTTGGCCTCTGTGAGTTACTCTGTCCAACAAGAGTAACATGGGGTAGCCTTTACACAACATTAGCTAGCTTCTATATAGACCATCATCCTTGCTTCATATGTGACTGGATTACAGCTGTAGCAGTATTCTGACATTGCAGCCTGCTTGTCCTGAAACGAGTTTTGAAAGGAACACTGAACAGAGCAGCTGCATTTGTATGGAAATTCAAACAGGTTGCATCAGCTATCAAAATTGATGACCCACCATGAAAGGTGTAGTCCTGCATTTTTCAGCCTGATCTCAGTCAGCTCTGACATCTGTAGCATCCATTTAGCAGCTGCCCATTTATTTCTATTATGAGTTTGTTTTCAAGCCGACTGTTTTTCTGTATTAGTAGTTGCAAAGTGCATGGAAATGTGCTGAAAATTTTTGTCTGTAGTATGCAACCATAATCTGCAGATGGAGATTAGGTTGAAAAATCCTGCTGGATTCCTTTAAGCCGCATCACCCGCCTCTCACCTCCTGCATGGGCTGCTCCTTTTCAAGATGCAATGATCACAGTGGTGTTTATCACCCTGATACTCGCATGATCCTTTATGGCCTTATCAGCTCCTACCCAGCCACCGGTGCCTTTTCAGCTCCAGAGAGTTGTGGACTGGCTGACACAAACAAATGGCACGGAGACCTTTCAGAGTGGAGAGAACATGCGCCGTGTGTCTGGTGAAGTGATATTTAGCCAATAGATGCAAGGACAGTCATGGAGCTGTGAGGGCTTTGTGTAGAGGATGGGCTTTTCAGGTGCAGCCGATCAGCCATTAATGTCTACATTTCTCAGTTACTCCTCCTAATCTCTGATTTAATGACAGTCAGCTCTAAGAAGTTGACACCTTGGAGAATGATGAATGAGAGTAAAGGTGCCAGTGCATGCCGTGTGCTTTTTTTTTTTGTTTGTTTGTTTTGTTTTTTTTGTTTTTTTAAACAATATCACTTAAAAGTCTAGTTTTATTAGTGTCATGAATGTGAGACTTCTTCCCTGTATGATACTGAGAATTGAGCATTTTGGGAAGAATTCCAGTGATGTGTTATCAGCCCTGTGCCAGTGCTAACCGTAAGCCCTAAGGTCCTTCTTTGAGACCACACTTTGATGATGTGAAGTTGTACACCAGCTTCACATCTATGCCGTGGTCTTCCTTTTCCTTTTCCTTTCCTAACAGGGCCTACAGTGGTCAAAACTAGTAAAGCTAGATGACAAAATAAGTACAGCAGCTACTAGCCCAGTGCCCTGCCATTAGCCAAAACTAGATAGCTAGCTTTCCCATAGAAATCCCTTTTTTCATGAGATGTGACCTAATAGATGTTAATTTCAGAAGATCACAGAATTACAAAAGGTGAAGCTTCATAATCTGATAAAGAAGCTATATATATTAAATAAATATAACCACTACATTATATGACTTCACTCCTTCGTCATTGCTCAGAAACTGAAACATCATGATTTCACAGAGGCTTTGTGATAACACCTCTCTGAGAGGTACTGTCTGATGTGAACTTGCTAGTGGGTTGCACACAAGGCTTATTGACCATTCTCAAGACCACCCTTGTTGAACACAAATGCAGCAATTGGATGCGCCAAGCTCTGACAGGCTCTATTGAGTGTGCACATCACAACCACAAGACTACATAAACTGGACAAGACCTAAAACAGAGGTTTTCAATCCAGGCCTCAAGAACCACTATGCGTGACATGCATCCTTGTGGTGCTTGTATCTCAACATCAATAAACCTGAGACAGATGATCAAAGATCTGATTGATTACCAAGCTCGGTATTAAGAGCTGGAATAGGAGGAAAAAGTAGAGTGGGTTAGTCGTGCTCGAACTGAAGTATGTCTGCCCTTGAAAACTGAATAAACGTTGGAAAAATCAGTGGTATTGTTAAATAGTTAATCAGGAGAAAATTTACAGACAATATTTCTCATCTCTATCCTAGCCTATATCAGTGGCTTCGTGAATGGATTGGTATGCTGCCTTAACTTTTTAATTAGTAAAGAACAAGTGTCGCTTGAGAAATAGCTGGGGAATTCTCCTAAACCTCAAGCCTGGGAAGTGCTAATCTGAAATCTGGGAAGTGAACAGACTGGCCCTTGGCCTCTGAAGCATTAGCGGCCCCT